TAAGCAACACATGGCAATCTGCGGTCTTTCCTTACACTTAGGTAGCACGGAAAGCCGGAAAACTCTTGAACAAAAGCTCATCTTTCAAACCGGCAGTCTAAATCCCACAGGTATCAACGAACACTTTTCATTCCGCTAACTTATTCGTGTTTTTCTCGTTGCCATGTTCCCACCAATCACGTAGCTCCTTTTTCTGCCTTTAAAAGCACACACAACCCACAATTCTGCTATTCGCTCCGACGAAGGGAAAACGCTCGAAAGGTCGGCTTTTATAATCGTAACGGTGGCCAATTTACCATTTCAACTTTGTTGATATATTCAAATTATTTGGTTGCCCCCGCCGACGCAGCCCCAAACAGTTTCTTTAGAAACTATAACCCTTTATTCATGTGTTAGAAAGGGACTTCGTTATAGACCACTTTCATAAATGGCTGCCGGATTAATATTCTTTTGTTTAAATTTAAATTAGCCCTACTGGCCTCGTTCTCTAGTACAAAATTCAAAAGAATACATCATCTCAAGCGAGGCCAGTAGGGCTAATTTAAATTTAAACAAAAAAATATTTATACGGCAGCCATTTATGAAAGTGGTCTATGGTGTATTCCAGCCTGATTCGTTCAGTTTTGGAGTATGCCTCCTCAGTTTGGGCAAACCTGCCTGATTATCTTAGCCTCCTAATTGAGAGTGTGTAGATAAAAGCCTTAGAAATAATCTGTCCTGGGCTCCCCTACAGGGACGCACTTGTGCTGAGTGGTCTTCGCACTCTCTCTGATCGGCGTGCCGCTGCATGCACTAAGTTTATCCAGAGACTTCGGGACACTGGTGTCCTTGTTAACTTACTGCCACATCGCACATATGTGTCCCATGGATATAATCTACGTTTTTAGGCACCCTTAGAGAGGATCCCGCTATGGCCTCTACTAACTGTCTCGACAAATTTATTACATATAGATATTCTTAGTAAAATGTTTCATGTTATTGTATATATATGATTTGTATCCTGACCACTCTTGTAATTTAGCTGTAAGCTACGAAAAGAGTAATTAAACTGATTATTATTATTATTATTATTATTATTATTATTATTTTTAACACCGTTTTCGAGACAAAACTTCAAAAACCACGGTTTTCATGCTTCATCGAATAATGGATCATTCAAAAAAATAAGAAATGTTTTTAGTCTCCTTGACTATGCACCCGTAAGGCCCTTGGCCCCTTTCGAATAATACAGGTCTGTACGCAGAATAGCTTTGATTAACAGAGCTGACCTAGCTGAGGAAAAACTTTTTTTTACCAAATCTTAACTGGTTTCCACTTGATATGGATTCCGCTTAGTTCCTAGTCTGCTTGTTTAAAGTGTGTTTACAATAAAAACTGACTTTTTCTTGACACACCATTGAATTTTTCAGACAGCTTCATGTACCACCCAAATTCAGTTTAATTAACATTCACTAACACTTATATTTACAGCTCTAGATGGAATTAAAGAAGCAAATAAATCTAACTTTTTTATATATAGCTAAAAACTGGAGATACGACTGGATAGTTCATTACGTTCCCTAATATCAAAATAGCTGCTAAATTTTCTAGAGCAAAAAAGAAGCCTTCCGTCTGCATGGACATTTGTGAACGAAGAGATTTCTGCTAATAAAGAACAAGATATTAGTTTATCATAATATTTCACTACACTAAAAACCTTACACAGGAAAGTGTATCAGTAACAAGTACGAAAAACAAAGTTTTCCAAGGTTCAATCAGGATGGTCGTCTGTGGTGCACACCGAATTGACCTTCAGTGAATAAAATAGATTACAAAATTTTAAAAAAAGTCACTTATAAGATAATAATAATCAAAATGCAACCACAATTATGTAACATTTTTAAGATGTATGCACAATGTTCTTGCAAACACAATAAAAAGTTTATCAGTACTTTTGAGGCGACAAAAATTTACCCCATTCGGTTTCACACTTGACACTAGAGATAAACATAGATAAAAGATCTTTCCAAATTTTAACTATACTGAACGAGTAAGTACGACATTTATTTATAACAAATACTCCAATTGACTCATTGACTGCTGAAGTCTATGTTAGTTCGAGTCTGGCAAATACGACGTACAACGTGCCAAGTTTAAGATTTTCAGCGAAGAAACCTGTACGTAGAAGAGTTGCACGGAGGTTGATGCTTAAAGAAAAGTTGAAATATCTTTGGCGGGCCAATTCTTTGTAATCCCGATTAACTTAGCGGCTTCTTTTAGCTATTCAATATAGTTCCAAATTTTTGAAGTCCAATTCTTTTATGTCATGAAAGTTACTTCAAATGTCTTGACACAACCCTTTTAAGCTTTAAATTAACACTTCTCGAACGATTCGCCGAGTTGTAGTATTTTTCACAAAAAGCTCTGGAACTTCTATTTAATGAGGATTTAAGTTTTCTCACAACACTATGCGCAGATCGGACATACCGGTACCTTCAACAAATTTTTCGAAATCTTTTCTGCTCGCTACTTCTTCTTCCCATGATCTCCGCATTTGATGAAAATTGTTACAGTTACTGATATCCAAATATCTCAAGGTGGAATTGTGTTTCAAGGCTTCTACGATAGACTTAAGGCCAACTTCTGTCATATAGTTTCCACTCAAAACCAAATATTTCAAGCCAGCATTGATTTTGAGAGACTCAGAAATGGAAGGACAATCAGAGTCTTCAATTCTATTTGAATACAGCTCAAGACGAGTCAGAGTTGTATTGTGCTCAAGACCTTTAAAGATGGACGGCGCAATGTCACCAAAACGATGGCCATTCTCGCTCAAATCCAAAAGAGCTAAAGCTGTATTGCCTTTAAGAGCCTCCAAAATTGCACCAGCAGTTACTTCAAACGCCGACATCCTGCTGAAGTTGAGTTCATTTAAAGCCTTATTGATCCCTATGGCTTCAAAGAGAACTTCGCTGTCGGAATAACGCATGACATTTTCACAAAGTGTTAGAGTCTTTAAGGTGGAGTTCACCTTGAGGAAGCCAGCTAGCTCTGGCCAAGGAATATTGTTGCGGCTGAGGTTAAGGTTAGATAAGGTTTTGTTGCCTATGAGAGCATTGACAAGTTCGGAAACACCTCGCTTCTCAATCCCGTTATGACTTAAATTCAGGCTACTCAATGTGAAATTGCTCTGAAGACATTCAGAGAGGAACTGAAAACCAGCACCACCAATGGATGGATTGCCTTCTAAATTAATGGTGGACAAGGTGGTATTGAATTGCAGAGCCTTAGATAGAGACTGGGCACCCAGTGCATCGATTTTATTTCTAGATAAATTTAAAGAAGTCAAGGTGTCATTGAAGCTCAAGGCTTCAGCAAGAAACTCAGAATCAGATGAACGGATATTATTATGAGCCAAGTCTAAGCATGTCAATGTAGAATTAACTTCAAGAGACTCACTCAGCACCTCGATGCCAGGACCACAGATGTCATTGCGAGCTACATTTAAAAAAGCTAAACTGCTATTCATTTTGAGAGCGGCAGAGAGACACTTGGCGCCGATACGACCAATCCTGTTTTCTTGTAAGTCTAAAGCAGTCAGACTGGTATTGACCTTCAGGCTTTCTGCGAGATAGTAGGCGCCCACAGAATTAAGGTCATTAAGCCCCAAATTTAAGTTGGACAAGGTGCTGTTCTTTTTCAGACTCTCGAAAAGTGAATATGGCCCCTTATATGCGTCCACTACTTCTTGGTCATCGAAAGTTTGTAATTCTTCAGGAGATGGCATATTCGGGAAAATTAAAAACCACTTTGTCCTTAACTTTTCTGGAAGAGGACAGGCGGAACCAGCAAACCCGTTCCATTTCAAATTCAAGCTTGAAAGAGAAGAATTGACAACGAGAGCCTCCGAAAGGAAGTGGACACAAGTAAAGTCAATCTTGTTTTCACTCAGATCTAAGGTGGTCAAAGTGCTATTGATTTTGAGTGCTGTAGAGAGAGCTTGGATACCAGATGAACCAATAGCGTTTCTGCTTAGATCCAAGTTAGTCAAGGAACGGTTAACTTTCAGCGCTTCAGAGAGCGCTATCGCACCCTCGTCATCAATGAGTTCACGATTGCCAATCAAGTGCAACGTAGTCACCGTGGTATTGGCTGCAAGGACCTCAGAGAAGGGTGTCACGTGATGCGCACGTATGCTATTGACAACAGAAGAACGGTAGTAAAAATACCGGGGATCCGGTATACCGCCGTCAAGAAGGGTATTTTCAACGTGAAAATTCACATCAGCAAGAGATAATTTCTCAAGACTTATATTGGAACCCAACATTGAGGTAACCTTAGAACTTAAATTATCCTTACGCGTGTTGGCATCCTCTCTGCATTCCAAAGCTAGCAACAAAATACTTCTAGTTTTCAGTGAAGCTAGGGTATTTACAGCTCTCGCGGCTGAATTTATCTGCAAGCAGATATTTCTTACAAGATCTAGAGCCTTTTCTTCGGATTGTAACTCGAGTATGCCGCTCATGAAAACAAAAATTTCAGTCTGTCTGAAAAAATTTGATGCGGAGAAAAAGCCACCTTCGCTATAATATTCATCAGCAATGACTGCTTTAAGTTCGATCTCACTACTCACAATCTGTGAAGCCAGATAAAAGCCAGCGAAGAAATTCTGAAACGCATACCACAAGCGGGGTCTTCTGACGCAACCTGAACTTTGGGTGGACATGAACCCAAATTCTGGTAAGTCTTTCACGGAGAATGCCACCTCTTCTCTTTCAAAGTCTACGTCTCCTTTCCGCTGGAAGTTAAAGTCAATTAGACCTATACGTGTCAGCTGATCTTTGTAAGTCACCATCAGCTCCTCATCGCTGCTTGATCCGCCTTTTTCGAAATCATATCTTCTCACGGCACACAGTACCATTTCCATGCACAGCTGTGCTTTGCTTGAAGGAATATCTCCTTTACGGTCTTTACAAAGAAGGCAAAGGAGTGCGGTGTAGATAGGATTTCCGGTCGCTTTTTTCTGTAAGAATTCGGACTTGTCGATGGCATCGTTCAGATTATGGGCCAAGATTTTCTGGTCGTCAAAGTGATTGTTAATGAAGTTCTTCACGTCTTCTTTGGTGAATCCCGCGATTCCCAATTGGCAGTCATGGCGCATTTTCAATTTGTCTGTCATTGCCAGTTTAGCGGACTCAGCGGTGAAAACATAGCGGCATTGAGGTAATTCTGTTTCAACCAACTGAGAAACCATATCTGGCAGATCGGGTGGCGATTTATCGAGCCCATCGAGTATAAACATGACCTTGAATTGGTTTTCACGGATGAAAGCAAAAAACTTTTCTTTGCTCTCTTCGTCGATATTTCCTGGAAGGAGTTGCTCATCAATCGCTTTCCAAATGTCGGAGGAAATATCACAACAATTGAGCAACAACAAGACTTGGGTTTCTGGCAAACATTTGTGGAACTCGTTTTGTTTGACGGCCCAGTCATATGCTAGCTTTAGACAATGAACCGTCTTTCCGATACCTGCTTTTCCAACAATGAGGGCTTTTCGTTTTGAACGAGAGATTCTTACTAAAAGATTGGATGGTCCTTCCTTGGTAAAAGTAGAAAGGTCCTTCAGACAAAAGTTAAATTCTTTACACCACGGTGGTAATTGCAGCTTCTCTTCACTGTAGCGCTGACGGATTGCTTCGACGATCTCGGTGGGAAAGTAAGCTTCTAGAAAAATCAGAAAAGTCATCATTATCAACCTTGAGAAGCTGGAGTGTGATCAGAACCCGCTTTCAAAGTAATGTTCTTAAAAGCGAATATTCATTATATTTCTTAGGGATTGATTCTACCACTCTTTTCCTATCTGACCCTTGTCTCTTTCACTAAGGATCATCGTTAACTCTCGAAAACTTGAAACAGTACAGCCTCCCAGTAAAATTGTTCATTCAAGCTTCATTTAATGGTTTTAAGTATGGTGGTAATTGTCTTAAAATTGGTTCTGTTTTATTAAAGTGCAGTCTGATTCTGTGGTTCTGTTTGTCTTAGTTTGAAGCAAGCCTTCTATTGCCAGCTGACTTGGGGTTACAGATTCAAGAAAAACTAAACACATTGTACCAGAAACCGCTGATTAAAGCTAACCACAGTAATTTCAGCTTTTAAGGTGAAACAAAGGATCTGATTGTAGTTTATATGCAGTGTTTGCTGACTTGGAAAGATAAGGAAGCCAAAACGGGTATAACCAGTGCAAATGCAGTGTTATTCCTCTTTGATAACGACCCCAACCGTGACGTACCCGACTGCTGTTTAAAATTACAATGACAAAGCTAGCCAGGACCCTCATAACGCAGTCATTAAAGGCTTGAACCTTGACTTGCTGCACAATGAAGGTATTTGAATGCTCTGGTTAACAAAAGCATGTGCACAGAGGTCAAATATGTACCGTTTGATTTATCTGGTCTAAGAATAAGCTATCAAAATGAAATCTCCTCATTATGCGAGGGTGAAAAGGTAGGAATTTTGGTCGGGCGTTAATTCTTTGAAAAAACTCACGAGCTAACCTTCACTTAGATCAGTTGGATCAATCCGCGGCGGAGGAGCTACTGTTGCCTTTAAATCCTCGACCTCTTGATGTACTTTCTTGATTTCAGTTTCCATGTCTGACAACTTGTCTTTCACGTTGTCGTCATCCTTCTTCCACTGTTGGAGTAGCTGTTTATAATGGTCCTCCACTTCAGGGTCCATCCACTCTGTCTCTAACGTGTCGATGGCAGCACCATACGCTGTTCCTACTAATCTGACTAGGGTGTCCCGAATGTCCAACCAACACTTGTTAAAAGTCACATCGTCTACGGATGCCTGTTCAGCGTGCCCATAAATGTTGTTTCTAAAGTATTTTACTCTGGAAATGTCAGCCTCACGACTTGTATCTCCAGGAGAAGGAAGTTGGTCCCATCCCGTCGCTGGTGGCGTCAATCCGCAGATGTTTCTAAGCAGGACGACCGTGAGCGTTATGTCAAAATTTCCAGATGTCACCGAGGTGGGAATGGCAGGGAACAGTTTATTCCATTGTAGTGGATTAATGATTCTTTTTTTCCTTAGTGATTGTAAAACGGGTTTGTTTCTCGACAAAACTGTGTGTAGATTTCCTGGCGGGTGGATACTGTCAAGCGTGTCCCTGAGGGCTTGCGAACCAACCTCAACCAACACACGACATAAGCGTGCATAGTTTGTTGTCTCTTTGGAAGACGAAACCGATGGAGGACCGGAAGCCATTCTTGTTCTATCTCAGTGTCCTAAAAATGCGCGGAATATCCTCTTAGTGTCTAACAATCTCCATATGAATTTCAAATCCAAAAATTGATAAAAAAATAAAAAAAACAAATGAATAAACAAATGAGATAAACAAATGAGAAATAGATAAGTATGTATATGCATGAATAAAGCTTAGCAAATGCGTTGGTCAGTGTGGCTAAAGATTTTTCAGAGGCGCCTCAGAATTGACCGCAGTACCTGTGCAAAAAGAAACAAAGGGTATTCTGGGTATTCTGGATGCACACCACGTGACTACGAGTTATTTCAAAAGGCTAGAATGAGAACAGGAAAGAAAAATATCATCATGGTAGACAGTATTAAAGCAATAATTGGGCTTACCGTTGATATCCTTTTGGGAAACAAATGAAATTGCGTTAAATAAAACAATCTAAATTTGAAGGGGATTGAAAACTATATTTTGAAGTAAAGAATCAGTAAATGTTGATAAAATAGAGCGCTGGACTGCTGTGCGGGAGGTCGAGGGTTCGAGCCCCGGCCGGACCAACACTCAGGGTCTTAAAAATAATTGAGAAGAATTTGCTACCTTTCTATAACATCAAGAAATGGTTAGATATTCTAGTCTTCTCGGATAGGGACGAATAAATGGAGGTCCCGTCTCCTGCAGGGTTGGGGTAGGAGACGTTAATTTCCCACACACGAGATTACTGTGTGATGGATGTCCTCCCCTGGGGTGGGATGGGTGGGATATAGGGCGCACTTAATTTGGAGCCTCGCTCTGTTGTGCGACCCTCACCACACTCTGGTGAAAGTGATTAAATATNTTTTTCTTGTCTTCGGATCACGACGATCAACGCAGAAGCAACGTTAGACCCGGTTGTAAAACTTACCCAACGAAAGTCGCTGAAATATGTCAGACAAATTCAATTCAAAGTAAGTTAATGCTTTTACAATTGTTTCCTCTTCAAATGCCGCTTTTTTTTGTTCAAGCTGCTTAATTTGCGTTAGACTGCGTTTAGCTTGTGGTAAACGCTGTTTTCGATTGTAATCCTTTACTTAAATCTTTCAGCTTTCCATCTCGACGTTTCACAATTCCATCAGCTGCATTTGTAGATGATCGACCTCCTTTCCAACGCACACCTTACGTTTTCGGCCAACAGGAAAACAGTGTTTTTCCCGAATTTAACGTCCGTGGCATTGCCCCACAGTATCCGCTCAATTTTCCTTTTCACCCCTCAACAGCAGCTTTGCCAAGAAACGATTTAGCTGTGGACCCGGCGTATTCCGCAGAAAGTGCCAAAAAATCCACTTTAACCGAGCAGTCACGCATTCGTTGGAGTGATGGAGAGGTTACGTTGCTTATTGCAATTTACGGCGAGGAGTACCCTAGACGAGAAAGGGGAAAAAGCCTGGAGACGATGTGGGAAAGGATAGCAGCACGACTTGTCGCCGAAAGTAAAGAAATAAATGATTTTATCAGCGATAAGTCAGCAAAAAATTGCCGTGATAAAATAAACAACCTCAACAAAAAATACAAGACAGTCAAGGATAAAAGCAAACTAACAGGAGAAGGCAGCGAGGGCATTAAATCATTCCCAGAATTTGATGCTCTGGATGAAATTTGGGGGACAAGGGATTCAGTAAATCCCAAATACGTCGTGGAGGCAGGTACGTCCCACACTCCAACGACTCCTGTACCGAGTCCGAGTTCCTCCTCGGGTGGAAGTGCAAGTAACACAACGGCAAGTCGCGAGTCTGAAGTAGATGAAGAGTCACCCCTGTCGCAGGCACTGGTTAGAAGCGGAGCTCGACGGGGAAAAGGGAAAGAACTAGTTGTGCAGCCGGGAAAACGCGCTCGACCTGAAGATGACGATGACGATGCCTTAACAGACGATGACGAACTAGAACAAGCAAAACGGCTATTTTTCAAAGACAAGAAAAAGCCAGGCTCAAAGAAGAAAAAAACCAAGCAGAGTAAAAAGGACGACGAACGTGCTAAGGATCAAAACAAGGAAGAGGACATGCTGAAGGAGCTAATCAAGGCACAAACAGAGGCTGCAAAGAGAGCAGAAGAGGAAAAGAAGGAACTTTTCCAATATCTTAGGGAGTCTGACAACCGTACCCAAGAGCTTGTGCTTGGTGCGATACGGGAATTAGGCGTAATCCTCAAAAAATGAAAGTTAGACCTTTCTTTTTCCTCTTGTTTACAAGGTTCTTCTTTTTCGTTTTATTGTTGTTGTTTTTTACCGTTACAGTTGCAGTTACAGTTTTGTTCCAGAGCTTTTGAACAATTTGCGAATGGAGTTTCCCAATTAATTTTTTTTTTCAGACTAAATATATAGGCAGGAATGGAAAGTAATAATCCACAGTTTGACCATAATCGTGACAGCACTTTTTCATGAGTATAAATGTTATGAATGGAGTTAAGCAAGAACTCATCAATAATTTCAGATTTGTCCGTTTAATAAAAGGACAGTCTATATAAAAAAAATGAGTTCATTCAGCGAGAAATGCAGTTAGAGCTTGCCTTACAATTCGTCCCTGCCCGAATGCAATTTGATCGCCGTCATCATCCCCATCTTCATCATCTTCATCATCGGAACTATGGTCATCTTCGAACTCGTCGGCCCTTAAAACGCAAATGTTGTGCAAAATACAACAGGTCAGGATAGTATGTGGAACTTTTGGTGTCTTTTCTTCAAGTGGCTTTAGTAGGCACCTCCAACGACACTTCAGCTTTCCAAAGGCCCTTTCTACTATTACCCTACTCTTGCTCAAAATCTTATTAAACTTGGCCTGATTTCGATTAAGGTTACGGGAATGGGGATAAGGACTAACCAGCCAGGGTAGTAAGGGGTAAGCAGAATCACCGATCAGAAGGGGGCGCACAGTTACTCCATTAATGCGTTTAACTGGCTCAGTCAAAATAAGGTTGTGCTCGGCTCTTTGGTACAGTGTACTAAGTCTCAATACTCTGGCATCGTGAATACTACCGGGCCATCCTGTGCTGACATCTATAAATTTACCAGTTGCATCGACTACTCCTTGCAAATTAATTGAATAGTTTTGCTTTCTGTTAAAATAATCTTCATGATTAACATGGGGTGCTTTTATGGCGATATGAGATCCATCTATCGCTCCAACAACATTTGGAAATCCAGCTAAACTTTCACTCCTCCTCATAGCCAGTGTAACATCAAGCGGATCATCTGGGAACTGTATAAAATCGTCCTTGTGGCGTATTAAGGCTTCCATAAAGTTTTCACATATCTTTATTACAGTAGATTTTCCTTGTCCGAATGTTATTCCCGTCGTTCTATATGAATTGCCGGTTCCCATTCTCCATAACGCAATTGCCACGCGCTTGTTCAAAGCAACAGCCTTTCGGAAGCGAGTGTTTTGCCTTGAAAGGTCTGGTCCAACCAGCTGGCAAATGTAATCAAATGTCTCCTTTGTGACGCGAAAGTCATTTTTCCACAAGGTAGAGAAGACTGGATTCTGGTACATCTCTTCAAACCAACCCTGTGGTCTGGGATATACCCACGCCGCTCTTCGTCGCCGCACACAAGTATGTCTTATCCTCCTAATTCTTCTGGCGAGAAGAGCAGAGATTAAGTCATGCTGCCTTCTCTTACGAAGAAAATACATGTTCAGGGCAATAAACCTGAACCTTTGAGCTTTCCGGATAACAATTATAACAAGAAGAATAGCAACTATCATAAAGAGCGAGCGTTCAGAATCCATGGCGCAAGGGGGAAACAGAACATTTCTTTTCCCAGACGAACGTAACGCAAGTAAAACATGGAATGTCTGAACTTGTTTGTCTTTCTTATCAAATTGCAATTTGATTGACACTCTTTGGACAAAAATCCATCTGGGAAATGTTTAAGTCAACAAGCACAATTTACTATGGTCAACTTTTGTTTACTTACTTTTACCATAGTAAAAGCCCTTTACCACAGTTAAGTTTCTAATGTGACCTCAACCAATGCGATTCCTCGATAACGTTTTGAGAGAGAACAAAAACTGTTTAAACAGTTTAAATCATCTTGTGTTTCATCAATCAGGTATATACACCAAGTTTCGTTGAATATGATAATTAGATTAACAAATGTGCAACCAGAAATTATAATCATGGATACAAACTAATTGATTAACTGCAATCTCAGGCTTTTCTGTCTTCTGTGAGTAAATTCTCAAAGTAGTCATGGGATCGGGTGGGATAAAAGGCTACTCATTATGATAGAATTCCTCACTTAAAGAAGGCAGGCTTGCACAGATTAACTTGAATGCTCTGTTTTCAAATGACGATGTACTTGGAATAAAGTGAATTTCAAATTAAGATCATCCGAGGAATTCGAAAAGCCGGCCGGCGGCTTGGATTTGCAAACTCAATTCCTAACTATTCGTATAAACTTACAATCAGATCACTTAAAAAAATTTACGGGTGAAAACGGATATAAAAGAGTACTGTGAGGGGGATGGTACATCACGACATAGTCCATTCAGTCTATTTTACAGCCTCTGACATGAAAAACTTTTTTTTTTAACATAATTTAAAAACACTATCATCAACAAATGACGATGTATAAGTGGGGAAGTGAAATATAAATTACTGACAGAATTTTGTGCATTTGTAATTTGGTTAAAACTGTTGATTCATCTGGTCAGATGACAGGTTATGGTCCACCTTGCTTTCTGTGGAGATCTGTAACCCAAAGGTTATCTCTTATTTAATTTCGGATGAAACCTGATTACATTTTCACTTGACACAAAAGGCTCAAATTACCACTGATTGTGTAGGAAGTAGAAACAACCTTCCTTCTACGTGTGAACCACCATGGATCAAGAAAGAAAGCAACCAAAGACAGAGGGTCGCTTTCCAAAGTTCGCCCGATTTATATTTTGCACAGCTGTTGTTGTTTTCTTGTTGTCGTGCTTGGCTTTCTTAGTTTTGGAAAACGTTCAAATGAAGCGGAGATTAACTTTCATCGAGGAGAGGATGGTCACGGCAGAGACAATCGAGAAGTTCTGTGCGACAATCCGATGGCAGAGTGACACAGATGATAGAGCTGATACTAAAACTTTGCTTTTAAGAAGAAGGAGATCGTTGGGTTTGAGTCTACAGAGTCTCGAGAAACGATTGAAAGTTCTAGAACTCAGGTGAGATCACTTTCTATGTCAAAGTTGTCGTTCTTATGAGATGACAGTGACGGCGACATGAAAGAGTCATGGATCGGAACATGTAAGTTTTAAACTGGACGTTCATATTCTGATTAAAAGGGAAAAGTCTAACAGATCACCTGCTTTGATTGAAGATTCTATAGAAAGATAGGAAAGTTCAGAATCCTTTTTCTAGCATGTTTTTAAGTAAAGCAATAATCAGATTACGGTGTATAAATGGCAAATCATATCCGGAATTTAAAGCTTGTATATAATTTATCTTTTTCAGGACAATCAAGGAAAACAAGTCTTCTTCGAGAGACTTGTTTCACACACCAGAAGTACTGAGAGGTAAACTGTGACTAAACTGAAAAAAAAAAATACTATAAAGTCAAGTGACTTTCCTTACATATGTAAAATATGTAACCTATGCTTAACAATTATTCCACAAACACGCGTTGGATATGAGATGATAGATAGCCAACGAGGCGCGTAGCGCCGAGTTAGCTATAATCATCTTATATCCAACAAGCGCGAGTGGAATAATTGTTTTATATAAAAAAAACGCCCCCAAGATATTAGACAAATCTTCTCGACTTTATTTTGTAAGAAGAAACCGGATGTTAAAATGTACAGATATTAGATTATGGTCTATTGGCTCATATATCATAATGGCTAAGCCAATAAAAAGTCTTGAATTGCATTATCCAATGATCCAGTTTTTAATAAAAACAAACAGCCAATAAACAGTCGATTACGGTAAAGTTACAAGTTAGTACTTCAAAATAAGCCTTAATTAACCGGCTGATTATCATTGTTCTCACAGGACGCGATGGACGGGACGGTAGGGATGGTAGCGCGGGGCCCGCAGGACCCACGGGCCCTTCTGGACCACCAGGAACACCAGGAAATCCTGGAACACCAGGAAATCCAGGAACACCAGGAATACCAGGTTCGAGAGCAATGTCTTTGTAAATAGCACAATTTCTCTTTCTTGAAAACAGTAGATAGATTTCGTTAGGCACTATCCGTTACTATTATTAGAGGGTCTCAATGAGGGGTTCTCGTTGACTGTTAAATTTTACGTCATTTGACGGTTGACAGTTAATTTTTTGGAGTGTCGTTGATAAAATAAACCAAACGCGCGAGTTTGGCAGTAATTTTTCATAATGACGCGTTTGTAAAGAACTGTTAATTTATAACACCTTTCATTAATAAACGACTAAAGTTTTACGACACTGGAAGTGTTTCCACGCCGGAAGTCAGTTTGGTCCCTTACCAATTTTACTCGCGATTAGAAGTTAAAGAATTTACCCTGTATTTTTGTGATTTATCAAAACTTTCATTTATAAACAACAGAACTTGACCCCCATTAAGGCCATCGTTTGGTTCTTAATTAAGGATATCTGGGACATGTAACATTGGTCATGCTTATTTGACGGTTGACGGTAAAAATATTGCGTATTTGACGGTTGACGGTTAACCCCATTGAGATCCTACTATTAAGGAACCACAGAAAGAGGTTGAGCATGATATCAGTAATTATCAAAAATGAGGCATGAGTTATCTGCCGAAGGCTGGGGGAAGGTGATACGGATACGAGGTTTGATAATTCATGATGTCATGCAAAAACCGAATTCAATACTTGTTTCATTATACATTATTTAAACAGTTAGAGTTTCTCCCTGAGTTTGCAAAAGTTTGAGAACACTACACGGTCGAGGGGCTTGGAAACTAGGGAGAGTTGAACGCAATATCCACTGCAGATGTTGGGGTGTCATGTCAACTTCACCTATTATTGTATATTGACTGAATGCTCTCGACTAATCAGATTTTTCATTTTAAGTCTAATGTATAATAACAGAAGTTAGGTGTAAATCATGTGTACCCACAGGTTTGCCAGTGCAGTTTCAGTGGTGTATGACATACATAAATAAGAACTAGAGATAATTTAGATCGTTAATTAAACTATTTACCATATGAGAGAGATTTCTTTTCCCTTCTCATTGGCAATTGTAGCCTCATGTTTAAACTGTTTCCTCCACAGGTTTTATTGGTAGCAAAGGAGGAACAAGAGGTTCACCGGGACCAAAGGGTACTATTAATGTTCGTTAAATATTGATAGGAGAAAATAATAACCCCCACTATTTTCTCTTTATATTTATGAAATCACATTACGGTAATTTCAGAGAAAGGAGCTGTGTTTCCATCCTATTCTGTTACTGAGGAGATTTTCTCAAAACTTTACAGGAGAACCTGGACCTCAGGGACAAAAGGGACAAACAGGGCAGGGGCTGTCTGGAGTCAGTTACGTTCGCTGGGGCCGGACAAGTTGTCATGGAGATCCTCAGGTTGTTTACACAGGTGCGACGCCTTGAGTTCATAATACTTGGAAATATAATTCACACGCAAAGGGAATTTTTAAAAAAAGGTTTGAAAACGAACTCACATAGAAAATAAGAAAGGAAATATTCAAGTCTAATGGAAGAGGAAATGAATGAAAGACTTGGTGTGTCACATTTAGTGTTAAATATTCCGGAGATGATTCATTGATTATGGGTATCAAATGAATCGGAAGGTGTTGTTAAGATCACTGTTTGGAGCCTGCGTTGTGCTATGCAATATAAAATATAAATTACATTTCTCATTTGTCTTGCGTAGATGTTTTATTCAAATAACAGACAGCGAGACAACAATCAAAGTTTAAAAAAAGAAAACAAAATGTTTCTCTTTAACATACATCTCTCATTATGAAATATGGAAAATGTTTTTCTTGTTCAGGATTTTGTTTTGGCTAAAAATGACTTTTGAACTGAAGCTTTAGCCAGTCTCACTGGAACCAAACTTGCTCTGGCGAATTCTCTCAAAAATCCCTAGGACAGACACATTTTTAATTCTTATGTAAATGTATATCCTCCCAAAAAAACAAAAGTTAGATTTCGTAAGTCATGTGCATCGCCTTAACCTTCAGTTCATCAAGTACATTGTATTATATTTATATGAACTTTGTTAAAGATACATATCACATTGTAGTGCTGGAGAATAGTTCACCTGAAAAACTAAAACTATACGCTCTTTCTTGTTAAACACCAGGAATCATTGGAAGCGGTTATTATAATCACCAGGGAGGTGGTGGAAAATACCTGTGTCTTCCAAACAACCCTAAGTACGACAGATATAGTGACAGCTGGGAGCGAACAGGCGCCATATATGGAACTGAGTATGAAGTTCGTTCCTTTAATCCATTTAGAAATAACTTGCATGACCATGATGCACCATGTGCCGTGTGCTACGTCAGATCACGCGGTTCTCAACTGATGATGCCTGCAAGAAATGATTGTCCATCTGGTTGGGCTGAAGAGTATCATGGTTATTTGATGACCGCTAATTATGGCCACAAGAGTACACGAGACTTCATCTGTGTTGACAGGGAGGCTGAGTATGTTCCTGGCTCCCAATCTGATCAGGATGGTGCGTTGCTGTATCTTGTACAAGGAGGTTGCGGCTCGTTACCATGCCTTCCATACGTCAGGGGCAGGGAGCTGACATGCGCAGTCTGTACCAAATAAAAGATTGCGAACTCGCGATTCGAAGTCTTCAACTGATGTGCTTCTGATGTGCCTCTTTACTCAGTGTTATACAGTGTTAAGTGTAAATCTATACTAACCTGAGATCTTTGGATATTCTGAACGCGACTTAAGTTTTCTATAACTCTTTTAAAAAATTGGTCGCACGAATGATTTAGTTGTGTCTTAGCCTAGTCTGCAGCTGTATCATCAGCAGCTTGGTTAGACAAACCGTAATTTACCAAGACAGTCGCATCTGTGTACTAAGGAAACGATTGAAAACTCACCGTCGTGATTTCGCGTAGTACTTCGTCTGTTACCGTAGTATTTCATTGTAAGTAGGTCATAAAAGGGATTCTATCCCCTCTGAAAAGAATAAAAGACTAAAATCATACTAAAAGAACAAGCTTGAGTTATTTTTCAGTAATCGCGTGACGGAAATATTTAATTTGTGACTAAATGTTCAGCCGTATCAATTCACTCAAACGCGACGAAAGTATTATCAAAATTTCATGTCATAGTATGGGGTGATATCTGGAAAATGGCCAAAGTTTCTCCTCTTTTTAAAAACGGTTCACTCTTTGATTGTTCAAACTATCGTCCGTTCTCAATTCTTCCCATTCTTTCTAAAATTCTTGAGCGCCATGCTCACACTTCTCTTTACGAATTTCTCTCTTCGCATGATCTGCTCTCTGATTCTCAGTTTGGTTTCAGGAAGTCTCGCTCTTGTGAATTGGCTCTTACCGACTTAATTAATCGCATCCTCACTAATATGGACTACCGTCTTTTGAGTGGCCTCTTACTTGTTGACCTAAAAAAGGCCTTCGAGCTAGTTGATCATTGTGTGCTTCTTTTTAAACTCAACTCCTATGGTTGTTCTCCATCCTCTGTTGAGTGGTTCACCTCGTACCTGCCAAATCGCTCACAACGTACAACCTTCAAGGGAGTCCTATCTGAGTCTTGTCCTATGTCTCTTGGTGTCTCGCAAGGTAGCATCTTTGGTCCTTTGTTCTTTTTGCTCTTCATTAATAATCTACCTCTCTATGTGTCTTCGGATGTTGATCTTACCATGTTCGTTGATGATACCTCTGCTTTAGTGAAAGGTCCTTCTTTCCCTTGCTTAAAAAACTGTCTTACCTCCGTTACTACTCAAATTTTTGCTAGGGCTGTCTTTAGTAGGATTGCACTTAATTTTATCAAAACTAAGGCTCTTCTCTTGACTACATCTCAGAAATTTGCCCATTTATCTGAACCTCTTTTTGATATTGTTGTTAATGGTAACCTTATTGAGCAAGTCCCGCATGCTAAATTGCTTGGCATAACAATTCTTTTTTTCCTGGGAAAGCCACATCAGCAACATGTGCTCTCTCATTAGGAGCAGACTTTCGCTTCTAAAACGTATCAAACCATTTCTTACTCATAACTGCTCTTTGAATTACTATAACTCTTGTATCCACTCTTCTTTGTTGTACTGTTCCACTGCTTGGGGTTCTTGCTCTAAAACTCTTCTTCTCCGTTTACTTCGACTTCAAAAACAATCAGCTCGCCTTATTCTTGACGCCGACTGCCATCAGTCCTAAGTCAGTCTCTTTGCCAAATAGCCTGCGAAGCAAGCCCTGGGGAAGAGGAGGGGGGATTGGGAAGCAAGCCCTGGAGGAGAGGAGGGGAATTGGGGCGAGGGCTTGCTTCCCAATCCCCCCTCCTCTCCCCCAGGGCTTGCTTCGCAGGCTATTTGCCAAACTGATCTGAGGACCAAAGGTTATCTCTTATATAATTACGGACGAAATCTGATTGCATTTTAACTTGACACAAAAGGCTTAAATTACCATAACTTGTACGTGTGAACCGCCATGGATCAAGAAAGAAAGCAACCAAAGACAGAGGGTCGCTTTCCAAACCTCGTCCGATTCATATTTTGCACGGCATGTGTTGTTTTCTTCTTGTCGTGCTTGGCTTTCTTAGTTTTGGAAAACGTTCAAATGAAGCCGGAGATTAACTTTGATCGAGGAGAGGATGGTCACGGCAGAGACAATCAAGAAGTTCTGTGCGACAATCCGAAGGCAGAGTGATACAGATGAAAGAGCTGATGCTAAAACTTTGCTCTCAAGAAGAAGGAAATCGTTGGCCTTGAGTCTAGAGAGTCTCGAGAAACGATTGAAAGTTCTAGAATTAAGGTGTGATCACTTTCTATGTCAAAGTTGTCGTTTTTATAAGAAATCAGAAACCAAAAGATGTCGTAAGGTTGACTGGTAATGTTGACATCAAAGAGTCATGAATCGGAACATGTGAGTTTTAAACTGGCCTTGTTAAGTTCAGGAGACCTTTGTCTCCTGATAAAAAGGGAGAATATAACCGATCACCTGCTTTGTTTGAAGATTCTATCGAAAGATGTGAAAGTGAAGAATCTTCTGGCATGTTATTATTAAGGCAGTGATCATATTACGGTCCCTAAATGGCACACTCGCGTTTGGAATTCAAAGTTGGTGTGGAATTTTCTTTTTTCAGGAAAATCAAGGAAAACAAGGCTTCTCCCATGGACTTGACCCAGATACCCGAAGTATTGCGAGGTGATCTGTGATGCAACTGTAAAGAGATTATTCATCTACTTGTCTGTTATATAATTACTCACGTTCAGTTACTCATTGATTGAAGATGGCATAAGCATGCCAAAACATGTCTTTAAAAAAAGTTGTATATTCTTACAATAAAGGGAAGTGATGGTAAAAAAAAAAAATTAAATCGCATTTTGCATTGTTATCAGTTGATGAGCACTACCGCCGATTCTAGAGACAGTAGTGTAAAATTTTACTGAAAAACAAACCATCTCTCTCCAGGGTCATACATCTCGCACGGATGAAAAAGGGCTCGTACTTGGTGATATCATTGCCTAACACGTATAAGCTTTTATTCGTTTTATGAAATTGAGCGGCTTATCATCGAAATTTTATTTCTCACAGGTCGAGATGGTCGGGACGGTAGGAATGGTCCCGCGGGCCCTCCTGGACCTCCAGGGACACCAGGGCTACCAGGGACACCAGGAATACCAGGTTGGAGAGCTACAAAACCGCAACTTATTTTTTTTCCTTGCGGCACGGAAATGTTCTTCCAGGGAATCACCTAAAATATCATCATTTTCCAATATAAGTCTGGTTAAGGTTTATTTACCCACATGTTGTGTCTTTTTAGTCAGAATTTTTTCACCAAAAGATAAAGGAGCGAGTTCTTTCTTTCCTTCACATTTGCCATTGCAGCCTCCCGTTTGAAGTATTTTATCCCCTAGGTTTTAGTGGTAATAAAGGCAGAACACAAGGCCCACCAGGACCGAAAGGCACTGTAAATGTTCGTAAATATTCGTAGATATTGATGAAGTCACATTACGATAATTACAGTGTAAAGAGCTGTGTTCTGTTACTGGCAATTTTTTTCATAATGTACAGGAGATCCTGGACCTCAAGGACAAAAGGGACAAAGAGGACAGGGGCTGTCTGGAGTCAGTTACGTGCGCTGGGGCCGGACAAGTTGTGATGGAGATGCTCAGGTCATGTACTCAGGTGATTAAGTATTTTATTACTAAGACCTAAATTGTTACGATTTAAACTGGTCTATTCAGTTTTACAGCCGAATCTCTCTTTCGTTACCGAGATCATCTTTATTGTCTGAGAATGAGACTGATATATTTTGAGGGTACTTGACTTGGAAGCACCAGTATCATAATTGTATTCTAAGCATACATAAGACACGACTATGCATTTAAGTTTCATTTTTGAAATAGATGTAGTATTGGTGGTGAGGGCTTACTGGCCGATTAATAGCAGATAGAATAACCATTTATAGGTTAGTGGTATGATAAACAATCTGTTTTCTGAGTAGAATGTTTGTTGACTCAGTGTTGTTTTAAATTTGTTAACTTCTAATTTTCTTTCCAATTTAGTTCATAGACACTATGCAGTTTGCTCGAAGCTTTCGCGTTTCAAATCAATTCAAATCTTTTTCAGGTTTCGTGGGGAGTGGTCACCATAATCACCAAGGAGGAGGAGGAAATCATATATGCCTGCCAAGCCAACCCAAATATGGAAAAGACACTGATCATTTTGAAACCGCGGGGGCTATATATGGCGCTGAGTTTGAAGTGAGCTCATTTAATCCATTCAAAAGAAATGTTCATAATCACGACGCCCCCTGCGTTGTGTGCTATGTCAGTTCACGTGGTACACAAGTCATGATGCCCGCAAGGGATGACTGCCCCAATGGCTGGAACGAAGAGTATCATGGCTACCTCATGACCGCACATTATAATCACAAAAAGCCAAGTGATTTCATCTGTGTTGATTCAGATCCAGAGTCGGTAACAGGAAGTTATGGCAGTCATGGTGGTGCATTATTGTATCTGGTGCAGGTTCAGTGTTCGTATTTCTCATCATGTCCGCCTTACTACCAAGGGCGAGAGCTCACATGCGCAGTCTGCACAAAATAACTACCATGGTAGGAGAGTTATAAATATGGCAACTGGAGTACAATTTAACAACCTTTCCGAGAAAAAAATATATTTTAGGAGGTTAGGAAATAAATCAATAAGAACCAGATAGGTTGACACATCCTTGGACTAACAAAAACTGTTCAAAACTGTTTCACTCATAGATCAAAGGCTCATCTTCTGCCTCAAACTGTTAATCACAAATCAATTATTATCAATCAAATGTCAATCAACATGTTATCTTGAACGGGAACAACTATAATCATTTAGTCAACGACTAACCAACTCAGTATTCTAGTTAATGAAATATGACATTAGACAAATGCTAAATAAAAATTGAGAATAGGAGATTGTGTGGTACACGAGTTGATGATCTCACTGGGGTCTTACTGACGAGAGAGCAGATTTGCTGTTGCCATATAGAAGCAACACAAGCTGTGAAAGCACCTTAACTGCAAGCTAAACTGGTTTAATTGTCAAATAATTTTTATTTGTAAAGGATAAACAACGGTAAGGTTCTATTAATATCGTAGTGAAGCAAGTACTTGATACCCGGATTTCTATTTCAACAATTTGTAACAACCATTTTGATGGATGTTAGTGTTCTTTGATAACAGTTCACGTTTCAATTCTTTTAAACTGTCTGTTGATCATTTAATTAAGCAATGCTTTGATGTTAAAAAACGAAATCAGGTATTGATCACTGACATGGAGAAATGATCTAAAGATTTAGAATAATTATGATAATGTATTCTCGTATGTCTGGGAAATGTGTCCAATGTGTTTTCCAGATGTTTGCCACTGTTTATTTTGCCGAGTAATCAGTTGAACGTAACATTATCTCACTTGCAGCAGTACTGTTGAATCATCCCATATGTAGTTTACGAAGACAGCTTCAGGTAAAAGGAAACGTAAGCTGTTTTACTCAAACCAGAGAAAAGGAATCGAGAAAAATACGAGAAGCAAAATACAAAAAGCCGCTTTACGTTGCTAAAAGTGGTCATTTTCTATTTGTCGTGCTTTTATAGTATTGAATCACGTTTAAATAAATAGAGGGCGAGAAGATGATCTATGAAGGGGCAAGAAAGAAGTTTTGAGCGACATCTCAAATACAGTGTGACGTACGCAAATCAAAAGATTCAATCAGTTAATGTTCTTGCTTTGATATGCCGGAAAAAGGAAACGGTTGGTCTAGAGTCTTGAATGTCTTGAGAAATGATTAAAGCTCTCAGGGGAGATCACCATCGTTTTTAAGGTCATGATCACAACTCTGACAACTCCCCTCTAAAGATGAATAATCCAATGAAAAGTGTGACGACCTATTTCAGTCGGAAATGTGTAACCTCACAAATCACAACATCTGCTGTTTTGAATACAAAACGTAGATTTTACCTGAAGAGTTCCTTTTAAACAGACTTTTTCATCAAATAAATAACAAAGGCCGAACTGATTTTGTAGCATTTTTTTTTTTGTTTTTTTGTTTTTTGTTTTTTTGTAGCATATTACCTACGGTATTGAAAATGGCGTCGAATCGTGCGGTTTTGTGCTTGAGTTCGGTCTGCAGTATTCAAGTCCCAGTAGGAGCTGCTACACTTTATTTATTTAATTAAAAAAGCCAAAGATACAAAACTTTGTGGTGGAAAACCACACTAGAATTAAATGTAATAAATTGGGTTTATGATATACTTCTGTTTAGAAATTAATGTCATTGAAGTTCTTGGTACTACAAATTATGGAACGAGTTTAAATGGTGAGTTCTGAATCTTGGACTAAACTTCGTAGTGTCATATACACATTATCAATTGACACATTCCTGACGCCTTTAATTCCTTCTTCCTGAACATTGCTAGGGTTTACTTCGTGCACACAGCAAATGTCAGCTCTCTTCCAGAAACGTATGGAAGGCACGGTAAGGAGCCACAACCTCCTTGCACAAGATATAACAATGCACTATCCAGATTAGATTGGGAGCCTGGGACATACTCAGCCTCCCAATATCAACGCCGATGAAGTCGCGTGTACTTGAGCGAAGGTAATGAGCTGTCTTCAAATACCCATGATATTCCTTAACCCAACCGAATGCACAAACATTCCTTGCGGGCATCATCAGTTGCGAAGCGCGTGATCTGACGTAACACACGGCACAGGGTGCATCGTAGTTATGCAGGTTGTTTGTAAACGGGTTGAAGGAACTAACTTCATACTCAGTCCCACATATGGCGCCTGTTTTCTCCCAGCTGTCAATGTATTTGTCGTACTTTGGGTTGTTAGGAAGACACAATTATTTCCCACCGCCTCCCTGGTGATTATGCGCACCGCTTCCAATGATCCCTAAACCCAAATTAAAGTTTTAGTGTCGGTAGGTTAACCTTCTAATCGCGACAGATTAAAAAAATAGACAGTCAAAGACTACATGTAGTTACTAGGATAGCACAGTTCTTGTGCCATTGCAAAGAACTAGAGTTTGTGTAATGACGCTAGAAGGATGTGGTGTAGAATATTTGTCTCACATGCAAACAGAAAACCTACCGGATCCCACATATTTATGGGTACTCTGTTCTACAAGAGAAAGATGATTCAGGAATATATATTGTCTAATTGACATTCAACCACTAATGCATGAAATGGTACCAAATAATGATATTTACATTGATAACATTAGTAATATAATGATAATTTAAAGGAACACAGTTATTAAGATATATCTACAAGGAAAACTTCTGTTTTAAATCGCGCGCAATCCTGAATGATTGTGAGATGTTTATCGCTTTCTGCGGCCTTCCATAGTATAACATAAAGAACTGAAAACATAATGTGCTAGTGGCTATAATCCAGAGATCACAGAAGGAGAGAACTCAACTGTGTATCGAGTGCGGATGTGGAACTACTAGGATACTCTGAAAAAAAGACTATAAGTTGTACTGGGTAACAGCAAAATTGGGTCAATCTCGACAACGCTGAGAATAAGGAGCAGGTAAACTGCTGTAAAATGCTTCATCTTGACCAGTGAGCTGCACTCCTGATTTCTTCCAGACTTTCACTGATCCTTTTCTCTCTCTCACCTGTGAACATTACCTGAGGATCTCTATCACAAGTTGTCCAGCCCCAACGCACTTAACTGACTCCAGACAGCCCCTGCCCTTGTTGTCGCTTTTGTCCTTTTGGTCCAGGATCTCCTTGCTTGCCGACTTTTCCACCAGAAGCATCATCTCCCGCAAAAATTTGTACGAAACTCTTGCCAAAACGTCTGCCAATTAAAAGATCCATCGAAATTTCTATATTCGAAGCTCTTCTTGACAATTGCGCTTGACCAACTGGCACGCGAGATTTCTGTGATTATTGTACAAAAGGTTTTGTACTCCTAATCGAGTCAATTTAGAGCATTTCAGAGTTGTTGCTGTTGTTGTTGTTTTTTTTCTTTCATCCATCCACTTTTTTTGTCTGACCGGTTTTTAACCATCGCAGGGCGTGATAGGTGTGTGTTAAGGAAGAAAAGGTGATTCTGGAGCACTGGGACCTCCTGGTCTCAAAGGTATTTAAAGACGTTGATACACTATGCGCTAAGCTCCCGCTTGCCATTATCGTCGACGATTTTCATTGCCTTTACTATCTAGATTGGAAGCTTGGCTCTTGAAGGTGACCCCGTTTTTTTTTTTTCGTTTTTGGCACCCTTAAAAGTCGTCACTGCAAGCGCCCATCTATGTCCGAAATGGTAAACGCTTTTCAGAAACAACGTGACAATAACTGAGCCAGGAGTTTGGTAAACTAACAGTTCGAATGCTTAACTATGGATTAGATTTAAGGCTCCTCACTTGGCTTGAAACGCTGGCTGAAAAGATAAAATCAGCTGTGATTAGTTGTTGAAATCAGTCAGTCAATATCTATCAAGATAATTTTCTCTCTATTCCATCAATTACAGGCAAAGGTGTCCCGCCAAAGGCGCAGGGTTGGCCATTTCTTGCTGCAAGGAAGAAAAGGTAGTTTTTTTATGGTGTCCCTGGTTGTCTTGATTTCCCTGGTTGTCTTGGTGTTCCTGGTGATCCGGGAGGTCCCGCGGGTCCATCCCTACCATCCCGTTCAATGCGAAGTTAAATTACAATCAACCTATAACTGAAACTGTAATGATTATTCCTGAATATGTCAGGTCATACATTCTCATATGTAGACAATTTAAACTCTTGTTTTAAGTTAAAATATTATAAAGTCTTAAAAGCGTACATCTCAATAGTTCTCCTGGTATTTTTAACACTTCGAAAGGAAAAGAATGGTTCATTTCTATTGTCCTAAAAGAAGAAGATGTAACGATTTAACGCCATCTTTGAATTTAAAATGAACGATGATGGACGTAATTAGTTTGATTTCTTTTTACATAAGATCATCGTTAATTTCATTGTTTGTGAAACCAGTATTCTGCAAAAAGCTATATAGGTCATGAAAATTTGGTACTTAAAAATCGCTTGAACGTAAAAATATTGCTCAAGGCTCCGACAAAAAGATTTTTAATTTCTTATTATGGTGTGTAAATTTGCTTTGTTGTTTCATTTTTGGCCTTCGTGTTTAAAAATATCTCGAAACTCCTGATTCATGTCCTCAAGCGAGACTAGCATTTCCCTTGTCATTTTTTAGATGATGGGTCTTCCCATCAGACACTCAGAAACCTAATCTATGGTTTCTAACATGATAATGACGTCACAGATAACGAGGGTAATCCAAAACGTGCGATTTATCTACTAGAGGTAAATGCGTCAACGATACAACTAATTTCCGAAACAGTCCGTGAATATTTTACCTTGTGGCGTTGTAGTAGTAATTGCTTAAATGATAATTGAGACCTTACATGAGTTCCAGAACTTTCAGTCGTTCTCAAGAATTGCAAGACTCAAGGTTAACTCTCTCTCATTCTTCTTGAAAGCAAAGCTTGAGCCTCAGCCCTTCCATCGATTTTTTTTCTGTTTTCGATCTGTTATACAAAATTTCTGCAATAACTCGTCCCTGTTTATCTTGTCCTCAATCCCAGCCAATCTCCGTTTCATTTTAACGTAATCTAAAGCTACCAAACCCACAATCATCAAGAGAAAAACAGTACTACGTATAATACAAAACGGAAAATCTCAGAAAGACGACGCTTTGCATATTGATCCCTTTTATCGCGATCCATTTTGTTCCAAGCTAACCTGGCCAGAACCACTCTAGTTTACATTTCCCAAACAACAGCTGGAGCTGTCTGTGCAAGCTACAGATGGGGTAATTATTCCAACTGTTAGGAATGGAATGTTACTTTCATATAGATATTGACATAAACTGTTATCAGGCGTTTGTAGGGAAACTGAAACACAAGCGACAGCTTGAATTAAGGTCAACACGAAAGCAGAACTTTTGAACTTCTAACGAACTTCCCACATTGATCCACACCGAGACTTCAAGCGAATTCAATGAGAATCGTCCTTCATCAACAGATCTGATTTCTTAGCCATTCTAAGGTGAGATAGAGAGCCTCTTGTAACAATTGTCGCTTAATACATACCGAAGTGGTGGACTCAATGAAATTGTCTCTATCTGATTTGAAAGGAAAACAAATGTTTGCACGCAAGCTCGATGAGATTTACATTGTTTTGTAAATTTCATGAGCTTGAAAAATGCAACTACGCTGCTCTTAGGGCCAGTTCATTGCGACACATTTCTGATACCATTGCCGGCGTGTTTTGCCTTATTACTTAAGAATTAAGCCACTCGAAGACCAAACACTCCATTTCTCCTTCCCTTACGTCTTTCATTTATATCGTCCAAGATGGTGGGCTTATGTAGGTTTTCGCTATTTTTTTTCCCACTCAGTAACCTTCTTAGTTGCTATGAAGTTCTCGTTATCAGTTGGATCGAGTGGTGAAAGTTATGTCCTTGTCTCCTTTTAGTTTGACCACCAAGTTAAACAAAGGAGGTAGCATAGCCTTGTAATAGCGAGATATGAAAACAGTTCTTTCGATATGAATAAAGGCTGATAGTTTCTAAAGAAACTGTTTGGGGCTGCGTCGGTGGGGGTAACGAAATAATTTGGATATATCAACAAAGTTGAAATGGTAAATTGGCCACCGAAACGATTACAAAAGCTGACGTTTCGAATGTTAACCCTTCGTCGGAGCGAATAGAGGAATTGTGGGTTGTGTGTCCTTTTAATAATTTTCCTTTCTGTCTAAGTTTGCTCTGTAAAAAAACTGAAATGAGGAATCAGAATTCACGAGATGCCTTTATGGAGGTTTGCCGCCGCATAGTATGTGCATTGGTGTTCGTTGTGTTGTCGTCATGGAGGGCATTCATTTCCTTGGACCACATCCAAATCAAGCAGAGATTGTCTGTGATCCATCATAGAATAGACACATTTGAACGATAGTTTGGGGAGATCATTCCAACGAGACAGTTCAATAAAAGGAGTAATTTCAATATATCAACAACGTTGAAATGGTAAATTGGCAACCGTTAAGATTATAAAGGCTGACGTTTCGAGCGTTAGCCCTTCGTCGAAGCGAATGAAATCATTTGTTGATATATTGAAATTATTTCGTTACCCCCATCGACGCAGCCCCATCAGTTTCCTTAGAAACTATCAGCCTTTATCAATAAAAGGAGTGATGGCACCAAAGCTTTTCTTGACAGGGACAAGAGAGAGGTCTTAAGCCTCGAAAGTCTTGAGAAACGACTAAAAGCTCTAGAATTCAGGTGAGGCTTTTACCTTCATGAACCACACTTAAGACCCGTTATTGATTAGCTTTGAGACAGGGTAAGATTTTCATGAAAGAGGCAAACTATCGGGCGTAGAAAGAATTCATGAGAACCTAAAACAAAGAATAAAAAATATCAACGAAAATTAGAACATAGCTAGCAGAGTCGCGCAATAAAATTCATTATACGTAAGCGTGCTCAAAATCCCGATAGTGCACGCTGATAGCGTCAGCAAATCCGACTTCGCCAGAAATTTTCTTTTCGCGCGAGCGGCCATTGTTAGCGCGGGGAAAAATAATACATTTCGCGACAATAATGGATACAAACAGAAACTCGGCCTGCTAGTCCGAAAACGAAGACAATGTTTCGACCTTTTCCCATGGGCTAGAGTTTTTAAATGAGGCAGAAAAAGAGAAAAACAAAGGAAAAGGAGACTCGGCATCAGCGCCGTCACGATTCGCTTCAAATGATATTGTTGTCCGTTTTTCGCGTCGCATTTGATGCACAATTCCACCGGCTATGTTCTAAAACAATTGGTTCATGCTTTCAGCTGTGCACTATCGAGTTATGGAGCACGTGGGAAGTTTGGAGAGCACTCAAGAAGCTAGAGTTGCCCTCGGCTACCGCCTCGGTCAACTCTTACGCTTCTTTCGTGCTCTCCAAACTTCCCGCGTGCTCCATAACTCGATAGTGCACGCTAAAGCATGAACCAATTGTTAAGTACTAAATCACAATACAGGAAAAATAATTGTGCACTGATTGGAGCATAAGGACTAGTCTAAATTTAAAGCGAGAAATATATGATAGTTGTTGCAAATACTGGAGAAAAAAAAGCTTCACACGTAGCGGAATGGGCTCGAGAAGTTGCAGGAGGTGGAGAGGGCTATGAGTCTGAAAGTTGAAAAGGTGTAAGTAATAAACAATTCGGATTCTGAACTGTGCTAGAACGTGTAATACGAAAAAAACGAAGAGTGTATCACAAGCTTACGATCTTTTGACGCCTTCTGAAAAATTTGTTGTAGGGCTACCATGAAAAACCAGTCCACAGGTAGAGATGATGAACGATCACGACAATCACAGGATGGAGGTCAGAATGCAGTCTCTTTTACAATCTCTTTAGATGCTAGGAAAAATATAACAATTTTAATGTAATGATAAGCTGAGAAAAAAAATTGGGGTTCTCGATTCTTGGAAGGGAAAAAATGTTTTGGCTTAACGAAACATCTGGTACCGCAAATGTGAACCATGTCTCGCTTATGAGCTTTTGAAGATCCACGAACATCATTCAGGAAAGACTGATAATCTGACTAGACCATTCCATCAATAAAGATGACGAAATAAATTTTGGTGATCTAGTGTCCTTTTTTTGCAGGATGTGATGAACGGGACGACAGACGAATTCCTGAAATTACTAAAGTTTTCCTAAAACTTCCTGGAACATCAGGGATGCCAGGATTACCAGGTCAGGGAGACTATGTATAGAGAGATAATTTGGATATATCAAAAAAGTTGAAATGGTAAATTAGCCACCGTAATGATTACAAAAGCTGACGTTTCGAGCGTTAGCCCTTCGTCGGAGCGAGCAGTCCGACGCAGCCCCAAACAGTTTCTTTGGAAACTATCAGCCTTTATTCATATGTATAGAGAGTACCGAAAAGTATTTTATAACATAACCAAAGTAAAGCGCATGCTCTGATTGGTCAATTTAGCGTCCCCCATTTGCCTATGGGTGTACGCTGCTTACGTGGGCAAATGCAAAGACTATTTTTCCGCTCACACTTGTTTTTTCTGGTCACGGAAGATTTGTTAAAAAAAGGGCACTCTTTTGCTACAATGTATCAATGCTATGTTATAAAACAAATGGTAAACACAGTGTACACTTTTGAGTTATGGATGCACATGGGAAGTTTGCTAAGTACTCAAGAAGTTAGAGTCGCTCTCGGCTATCGCCTCGCGAGACTCTTACGCTTCTTTCGTGCTTGGCAACCTCCCGCATACATCCACAACTCAATAGTGTACGCTGTGGTGTTTACCCAGAGGTGTTTACCATTTGTTTAATAACGGTTTTGTCTTGAAGGCCTATAGATCCTGGCATAATTTGTCTGAAGAGAATTTGTGAGATCGAAGAAAAGTCAGTAGAAATTCTGCAAACTCCGCACTAGATAAAAGGAACTGATAAACAAACAAAGTTCATATAGGTTTCGAGATGGATTGTAGAGGGGGGCTTTGAGATTTTCGGTTTTGCGGTTTTGGCTGTTTTTTGGATCGGTTTTTGGGCAAAAAAGGTTCGGTTTTTCGGTTTTCATGTTCAGAGCGGTTTGCGGATTTTACTTTTTTTGCATTCGGTTTTAGGTTTTCACGAAAACTCTGATGCGGTTTTCGGTTTTTCCTTTTTGACCCCTTTAAACCTCAAAATGTAGTGGTTTTGTCAGGTTCACATGCGGTTTTCGGTTTTGCTGCCTTTTTCCGTCGGTTTTTCGGTTTTGGAAGTTTTTTTCTCCGGTTTTGCGGTTCCCCAGAGGCCCCAATGCCCTCCTCATTTTACAATGACCTTACATGCTCATTTTGCTCGCGACCATAAATTAACATGAGATATACTTACACTTCATTGAGCAAAGCACCCCGTATTGCGAACGACATTTAAGCATTAAATCTCGTGAATAACAGTACTTCGGAATTATCCACTTGTTTTTCCACTACAGGTCGTGACGGGCGAGATGGCAGACAAGGCGTTCCTGTAGCACAAGGACCTCCTGGACCGAAAGGTATCATTGAAATACCGTACGTTTTTTATTTCAAAAGCGGTTTGTGCTTACGAGGACAATGTGATTTTACTTTAGCAACCATTTTAATTTAATGGCAAGGGTTGTTTTAGTTTGGAACGACTAAGTTAATCTACTGACTACTGAACATTCTGCAGGAGATGTTGGTCTAAGTGGAGAAGTTAGGAGGCAAGGAGATCCGGGACCTAAAGGAAAGGAGGGGAAGGGACTGTCTGGAGTCAGTTATGTGCGCTGGGGGCGAACAAGCTCTGATGGAGATGCTCAGATTGTGTACACGGTTAAGTAGTAATTAAAAAAAACTTGTTCAGTATTTTATTACTTAGAGTTAGATTATCATGATTTGAACTGATCTTTGCAGTTTTAAAGCCGAATCTCTTTTCTGTTTCCGGCGAGACCTTTTTCCAGGAATGAAACTGGTATATCTTGACTGTACTTGACTTGGAAGCACCAGCATCATAATTGTATCCTAAGCATACATAAGACACAACTATGTATTTAAATTTCATTTTGAAATAGATGTAGTATTGGAGGTGGTACATGTAGGGTGTTACTGGCCGATAAATCACAGATAGAATACCCATCCATAGTACAGTGATAAAATATATTTTTTCTCAAAGACTATCAGTTGACTAAGGGTTGTTTTAAATTTGTTACCTTCTAATTTCCTCGTTGTAGTTTAGTCCATAGACACTATACAGTTTGCTTGAAGCTTTGGTGTTTCATTTCATTTCTCATAAGGTTTGGTGGGCATTGATCGCCATGATCACCGAGGAGGAGGAGGGAATCATCTATGCTTGCCAAACCAACCAATATGGGAAATACACTGATAAATTTGAAAACACTGCGGCCATATTTGGCGCTGAGTATGAAGTGAGCTCATTTCATCCTTCCAAAAGAAATGTGCATGATCACGACGTCCCCTGCCGTGTGTGCTAAGTTAGGTCGCGTGGTGCACAGCTCATGATACCAGCAAGGAATGACTGCCCTACTGGCTGGAAAGTGGAGTAAAAAGTGGAGAAAAACATTCTCATGGTAGCCAGTATTAAAGCAATAATTGGGCTTATCGTTGATATCCTTTTGGGAAACAAATGAAATTGCGTTAAATAAAACATTCTAAATTTAAAGGAGATTGAAAACTATATTTTGAAGTTAAAGAATCAGTAAATGTTGATAAAATGCAGCTGTGTAACTGTTGATTTTGTACGCAGTTTCCCATATCACATTCTCCCATTTTGCTTTTGAATACGAAACTACACTTCCATTCACAAAATCAAATAATGCGAAGTGTGGAACACTGAACGCAGACGGCGCATAAAATCTTCCGATAGTTTATTTATGACATACAATGAATATATGAAGATCATATATTCATTGTATGTCATTTATCACTTTCACGGGTTTATTACGAATCAACTTAACGGCCTGCTCCCAGTTGGCTTGTTAGCTCAATTGGTAGAGCGCTGCACTAGTATCGCAGAGGTCAGTGGTTCGAGTCCCGTACAGGCCTGATTTTTTTCAGGTCTGATTTTCGCTATTGCTTAAATAGCGCTATCTACTGCGAGGATCGTGCATCATACGCATTTTATTTATGGGAACTAACCATTTTCAATCAGTCTTTCAGCTTTGGCTATTCAACAAGACACAAATTTAACAAGTTCACTTTTGGAATGTCACTGAGGTTGCTTAGTTACTTGCAGTGAAATATGCAAGTATGCAAATGTTCCCAATTGTTAGATTATTGTAATTTGATATATTGCTGCATCATCTGACATGGTTGATTTAATCGAGATACGTTTTGAAACCGTTAACCACGCAAGAGTGATCTCTTTTGGAGCCAAAATACTTTGAATTTTGCGCTCCTCCTGCCTACTTTGGGGAAAATAATGCGTCAACATGACTGACTGACGCCATTCTTGCTAACTGGTCGCAATGGAAACGACTGTTGGTTTTGGTGGATACTTAATCCCAACTAAAATCTTTCAATCTGCTCAGTCTGCTATGATTCAAATAATACCATTCTTTTAGAATATGCTTTTATGAAATTCGGCAGATTCAAACATACTTGAATGATTCAATGTTTTTGGAAACATTGTGCCTCGCCCTCTAGAACGTTTCGTGGATTTGGTGGTCGAACGCTAAATAAATATACATATGACTTATTAGACGTTTAGTGTGCAGGATTAATATTAATATTAATATTAATATTAATATTGCTGATTATTTTAACGAGTTGGGCGCATCATGACAAGCCCGAAAGATACAAAATACAAAATACAAACAACAAGTAAAAATCATGAGTTATTGATACTTCACACCAAAACGTCTAATAAGTTATTTATTACCAACTGCTCTATTTTATGCACATTTTTCATAAGGCGGGAAAACCGAAGCAGAGAGAGAGCGTATTACGCGCAGCCAACCGGTTAAACAGGTTTTTTGTAATAAGAAATAACTAAATTTACGATGTAATGGATTTGCGCGTTATTTGTTCCTTACTTTGTGCAGTTGTATTGCAAATCAACATACGTGATCATACAGGTGTAGCTGTTTGAATTTAATCCCGTTGGATGTTCACTCAGCTCTGATTGTAATCCGGTGTGCATGTCGTTATGGCGGAAGGAAGATCAATCGACTTCAGTCGTTTTAGTTTGAAATATTTATTTGCAACATAAAATACAGTAGGCTTCCAAAGCAATGTCCAAGTGAAGAATGTATAGTCTAAGACATCAATTCCATTTACGCTTTTTACATTTTGAACTGGTTATCGCTAATTCGCTTGTTGACCATCAGTCAGCCATCTCGTATTGGATGCGCGCTCATGAAATAACAGATATTATTGCATAATTAATCAATTATCAAAATGATGCATTAGTGAACCGCTCAAAATGATAACTTGATTGATAAAGGGGAATCTTTGGAAATTTCTTTATAAAAGTTATAACTGACATAATGACGTTTAAAATCTTCGCCTAGCTGCATGTTCGACAACTCTCAAGTGACAGCGAACTAATGATATGTTGTCAGTTACAGAACCGTTAACAAACAGTTGATAATATACTGTCAATGAGATAAATTCATAACTTTAAACTAAAAGGTAAAAGTTATTTTCATCATTCCATCTCTTTCGAAAAAATTGACTATCTAAACAATGTGGTCAAGATAATAGTTATGGAGGTCTGAAACGGTGTCTTGACGCCAGACTAAATGAATAAGACTTCAAAGTCTGTGGAAGCACGCGTCATGAATTAAGTTAAACAGTCACAAACGAGAAGCTTATCAGGATTTAACCAAGCTAGTGAGATTTTTTCGATGACAGTTGGCGTCAAAGAGCTCAAAATTTTTTCATAGTTCATTTGTGAAAAACACGATATTACTTATGCATGGGCATGCCTCATAACGTCAATAATTTATATAATTATTCGCATATTAAAGTCATGAACAAAACCGCCAAATGTACAGAATTCATTTTCTCTATGTTATATCTGTTGTCTTTACGACATCTGCTGGTTTGTTTGGACGATATGAGTTAAAATAGTCAAAGACTTGGGCTGATTTAACGTTTCCCATGAGAGTAGTTACAAACAAGTAGCTCTTTAAGTCTGAACAAAGACGGTATTACCGATGTAGCTTAATAACGGACGTTTGCGTCAGGTCAGGGTATGGTAGCGAGTGGCGACAAAAAGCGAAAGGATTGCTCCTTTCCTGCAAAAAAAAATAATCTCTACGCACAAACCTGTTCATCTCCAAACAATAGCAGCACAATAAACCAGGTTAAGTTCTTCCATGAGCGACGAGCACGACTGACAGGAAGAAAGACAGGGCTCCTCGATGCATAGAGCAATCTTCGAATCGATCAAGTCAGTCTTATGACGTCATTGTTAATGTAATGACTAAGGCCGCGATTGGTTGATCGAAATCTGGCGCGAAACGCTTTGTGAATAGTCCTAAATTAATAATGGTATGCTAAGGAATGACTTCAGAGTGACATTTAACGAGAATATAAATATTTTTCCCCCTCTTTTTTCCTGCTGGTTTAAGAAAATAAAAGAAAAGAATATTTCCCTTTAGTCGTTTGCTGCCGCTGCAAACCTCAAGGCTTGCCAGCAAGAATTAAAATGATTGAAAAACTTTTGTCTCTCTAACAAATAAATTCCATGTTGCTCTGCATCTGTGACACATAAATCAGTGACACACTCGCCTTCTGTGATCTGTCACTGAACAGAACTAGAGTGACATGAACTCTATTTCTTTAGATAATAAAGAAGCAAAATACAAAATATTCAGTATCGATGGTGACTTTATCTATGTGTCTCTTCCTCTATGTCTGATTATGAGTAAGAATAAATTTGATTGCGTGTATAGTTCAGCTTATTATATATATAAAAAAAATATGAAACATCAACGATGCGACCAAATTTTCGCGTCGGGAATTGAGCCAAGAAAACTAATTTGAAGCGATGAACGGTAAGAAAAAATTATTCAAAGTGTCTTGGAATAATGGAAACATCAACGCTGTCATTAACGAGCTCTGTTGACTTTTCTCCCAGGATTCCACAGTGTCCCATTGTTAACCGCCGCCAATGCGATTCCTCGATAACGTTTCGCAAGAGAACAAAAACTGTTTAAACAGTTTAAATCATGTTGTGTTTCATCAGTCAGGTATATACAACTAGTTTTCGTTGAATATGATAGTTAGATAAACAAATACGCAACAAGAAATTATCATCATGGATACAAGCTAAACTACAATCTCAGGCTTTTGTGACTTCTGTGAGTAAATTCTCAAAGTAGTCATCGGGTGGAATCGGGTGGAATCGGGTGGGATCGGGTGGGATCGGGTGGAATAAAAGGCTACTTATTATGATAGAATTCTACACTTAAAAAAGGCAAGCTTGCATAGATCAACTTGAATGCTCTATTTTCAAACGACGATGTACCTGGAATAAAGTGAATTTCAAATTAAGATAATCGGAGGAATTCGAAAAGCCGGCCGGCGGCTTGGATTTGCAAACTCAATTCCTAAATATTCGTATAAACTTACAATCAGATCACTTAAAAAAATTTACGAGTGAAAACGGATATAAAAGAGTACTGTGAGTGGGATGGTACATCATGACAGAATCCATTCGGCCTATTTTACAGCCCCTGACGTGAAAAACCTTTTTTTTTCGCATCACTTAAAAACACTATCATCAACAAATGACGATGTATGAGTGGGGAAGTGAAATATAAGTTACTGACACAAATTTGTGCATTTGCAATTTGGTTAAAACTGTTGAGTCATCTGGTCAGATGACAGGTTATGGTCCACCTCCTTACTTTCTGTGGAGATCTGTAACCCAAAGGTTATCTCTTATTTAATTTGGGATGAAACCTGAGTACATTTTCACTTTACACAAAAGGTTCAAATTACCATTGTATAGAAAGTAGAAACAACCTTCCTTCTACGTGTGAACCACCATGGAACAAGAAAGAAAGCAACCAAAGACAGAGGGTCGCTTTCCAAAGTTCGCCCGATTTATATTTTGCACAGCTGTTGTTGTTTTCTTGTTGTCGTGCTTGGCTTTCTTAGTTTTGGAAAACGTTCAAATGAAGCGGAGATTAACTTTCATCGAGGAGAGGATGGTCACGGCAGAGACAATCGAGAAGTTCTGTGCGACAATCCGATGGCAGAGTGACACAGATGATAGAGCTGATACTAAAACTNGAGGGCTTGCTTCCCAATCCCCCCTCCTCTCCCCCAGGGCTTGCTTCGCAGCCTTCTGGACCACCAGGAACACCAGGAAATCCAGGAACACCAGGAATACCAGGTTCGAGAGCAATGTCTTTGTAAATAGCACAATTTCTCTTTCTTGAAAACAGTAGGGAGATTTCGTTAGGCACTATCCGTTACTATTATTAGAGGGTCTCAATGAGGGGTTCTCGTTGACTGTTAAATTTTACGTCATTTGACGGTTGACAGTTAATTTTTTGGAGTGTCGTTGATAAAATAAACCAAACGCGCGAGTTTGGCAGTAATTTTTCATAATGACGCGTTTGTAAAGAACTGTTAATTTATAACACCTTTCATTAATAAACGACTAAAGTTTTACGACACTGGAAGTGTTTCCACGCCGGAAGTCAGTTTGGTCCCTTACCAATTTTACTCGCGATTAGAAGTTAAAGAATTTACCCTGTATTTTTGTGATTTATCAAAACTTTCATTTATAAACAACAGAACTTGACCCCCATTAAGGCCATCGTTTGGTTCTTAATTAAGGATATCTGGGACATGTAACATTGGTCATGCTTATTTGACGGTTGACGGTAAAAATATTGCGTATTTGACGGTTGACGGTTAACCCCATTGAGATCCTACTATTAAGGAACCACAGAAAGAGGTTGAGCATGATATCAGTAATTATCAAAAATGAGGCATGAGTTATCTGCCGAAGGCTGGGGGAAGGTGATACGGATACGAGGTTTGATAATTCATGATGTCATGCAAAAACCGAATTCAATACTTGTTTCATTATACATTATTTAAACAGTTAGAGTTTCTCCCTGAGTTTGCAAAAGTTTGAGAACACTACACGGTCGAGGGGCTTGGAAACTAGGGAGAGTTGAACGCAATATCCACTGCAGATGTTGGGGTGTCATGTCAACTTCACCTATTATTGTATATTGACTGAATGCTCTCGACTAATCAGATTTTTCATTTTAAGTCTAATGTATAATAACAGAAGTTAGGTGTAAATCATGTGTACCCACAGGTTTGCCAGTGCAGTTTGGTGTGTGACATACATAAATAAGAACTAGAGATAATTTAGATCGTTAATTAAACTATTTACCATATGAGAGAGATTTCTTTTCCCTTCTCATTGGCAATTGTAGCCTCATGTTTAAACTGTTTCCTCCACAGGTTTTATTGGTAGCAAAGGAGGAACAAGAGGTTCACCGGGACCAAAGGGTACTATTAATGTTCGTTAAATATTGATAGGAGAAAATAATAACCCCCACTATTTTCTCTTTATATTTATGAAATCACATTACGGTAATTTCAGAGAAAGGAGCTGTGTTTCCATCCTATTCTGTTACTGAGGAGATTTTCTCAAAACTTTACAGGAGAACCTGGACCTCAGGGACAAAAGGGACAAACAGGGCAGGGGCTGTCTGGAGTCAGTTACGTGCGCTGGGGCCGGACAAGTTGTCATGGAGATGCTCAGGTTGTTTACACAGGTGTGTGTGTGTGACGCCTTCAGTTCATAATACTTGTAAATATAATACACACGCAAAGGGAACTTTTAATAAAAGGTTTGAAAACGAACTCACATAGAAAATAAGAAAGGAAATATTCAAGTCTAATGGAAGAGGAAATGAATGAAAGACTTGGTGTGTCACATTTAGTGTTAAATATTCCAGAGATTATTCATTGATTACGGGTATCAAACGAATCGGAAGGTGTTAAGATCACTGTTGGAGCCTGTGTTATGATATGCAATATTAGGCAATAATAGCATAGCTTGGTTGTCTTTAATAGATCCTTTATTCAAATAACGGACAGCGAAATAGATAGTTATAGACAACAATAAAAGTTGAAAAAAAAATAACCAAAATGTTTCTCTATAACGTTCATCTCTCATTATGAAAAATTGAAAATGTTTTTGTTGTTCAGGATTTTTTTTTGGCTAAAAATGACTTGAACTGCAGTCTTGGCCAGTCTCACTGGAACCAAACTAGCGCTGGCGAATTCCCGCGAAAATCCCTAGGACAGACACATTTTTAATTCTAACGTAAATGTATCACCTCCCAAATAAACAAAAGTAAGATTTTGTAAGTCGTGTGCATCACCTTAACCTTCAGTTCATCAGATACATTGTATGGTATTTATATTAACTTTGTTAAAGATACAAATCACATTGTAATGCTGGAGAATAGTTAACCTGAAAAACTAAAACTATACGCTCTTTCTCGTTAAATACCAGGAATCATTGGAAGCGGTCATTATAATCACCAGGGAGGCGGTGGAAAATACCTGTGTCTCCCCAACAACCCAAAGTACGACAGATATAGTGACAGCTGGGATGGAACAGTCATATATGGAACTGAGTATGAAGTTAGTTCCTTTAATCCATTTACAAATAACCTGCATGACCATGATGCACCATGTGCCGTGTGCTACGTCAGATCACGCGGTTCTCAACTGATGATGCCCGCAAGAAATGATTGTCCATCTGGTTGGGCTGAAGAGTATCATGGCTATTTGATGACCGCTCCTTATGTCCACAAAATTACACGAGACTTCATCTGTGTTGACAGGGAGGCTGAGTAGGTTCCTGGCTCTCAATCTAATCAGAATGGCGCGTTGCTGTATCTTGTACAAGGAGGTTGCGGCTCGTTACCATGCCTTCCATACTTTCGAGGCAGGGAGCTGACATGCGCAGTCTGTACCAAATAAAAGATTAGGAACCTAAAACTGATGTGCCTCTTAAACTACCACACAGTGAAAAGTGTTAATCTATCCCTTAATATCTTACGCGACTTAAGTTTTCTTTAATTTTTTAAAACAAATTGGTTGCAAAAATGATTTAATCGTGTCTTAGTTTGCAGCTGTATTATTAGCAACTCAGCTAGACAGGCCGTAATTTATCAAAACATACCCATCTGTGTACTTAAGAAACGATTGAAAATTCACCGTTTCGCTCCCTCTTATTACTTCATGTGTTACCTTAGTATTTTATTGTAAGTAGTTCATAAAAGAGATCATATTTACTCTGCAAATAATAAAATACTAAAAATAATTCTAAAAGCACAAGCCTGAGTGATTTTTTTGTAATCGTGTGACGGAGGAAATACTTCTTTGTAGTTATAGAGATAAAATTTTTCTAAGGGAAATAAGTTGTCTCTCAGAGTCTGGATATTCTACCAAGTTAGGTACAATCAAAGGAATTCAGTCGATGTAAGAAAAAATATTATATATACAAGGCTAAAAAATTAAGAAAAAATTATTAAAAAGTTTAAACCAAACGTTTTCGGCTGTTTGCCATCATCAGGGTTGAAAGTGATGACCGTCTGTACATACATA